AAAATATAAAAATTAAAAAAAATTGGGAACATTTTTAACTTCATACATTCGACATATTAAACAATAATAAGTATGTTAAATAAAAAATATTTTATTAATGATGGAAATGGAATGTAAATTTTAAAATCAATTGAATAAAACTATTTTCCTATTCTCTCTTATTAAATTTTATATTTAAGATATATTTTTTTCATCATTAAATTCACAACATTAATTTTAATAATATAAAAATAGATATTTTAAATGTAATTTGAAATCAAAATCATTTTCTTTCCTCCTAGTGGTGGGTAAGCAATTCAACCATTTGGAGTCAAATGGGTTATAATAAAAAATTAAAAAAAGTAAAATATATAATACAAAATAAATAAAAAATAGGGGCATATCTCTAATATTGTATATTCATTAAACTAAACAAAAATAAGTATCAAATGTAAGAAGTATTCTTAAAAATGATGAAAATGAAATGCCAAATTTAAAATCTACCTATAAATGAAATGATGTTATAGTCAAATAATAATAGTAATTGTTATTGCAATTTAAATCTTTCACGTGCAAAGCATGTGCACGTTTATTAGAAGCATTTAAGTTTATTTTTAATCATATTGTTACTTTTATTAATTTTTAAATTTTATTTAACTATGATATGTCTTAAATTTAAGTAATTAATATAAAGAAAAAAATTATCACGTGCGTAATTCCAATTTTAGATCCCTATTCCTACAAACCAAACGGGCCCTCGAAATATAATTGTTTGATAGGTCAGGTTTGTCGTAGTTAACTGATAGTTATTTCAGCCTGGTTTGCTTGCAATGCGATTTCATTTGCATTGGTACAAAAAGGTATGAGAGTGCAAATGAGTGGAATGCAAATTCAGGCTTATTTTGTTTAAAATTTACTTGATTTTATTTGTTTATGGTATAAAAGAAGTAAAATAAAATATAAAGAAAAGTAAAATCCAAGCAAAAAAACCAAAAATTTTTACATTCTTTTGAGTTGTATTCCCATGCATGCATTTGTATTAGTGCCAATGAAAATATTTGCATTTTAAAGTAATAGGCTAGCTGAAATTTAATAATACCCATTGCACGCTCAGAGAAGCAAAATTTGTATTTAAATGGGTTAACCTTTGGACAATAACTTAAAATAGATACAGAGATGGAAGTAAATTTCTGTTTCTACCGCATAGATTTGTATGATTGGAGGTCATTTAAATGATACTTTGTTCCCCTTCCCGTTTTTTACCTTCTTTTTTGGGGGAGGGAATGCTACTTTCTTTTGTGAGACAATTGTGGGTTCCAGTGCATTGAATACATAACATGTAATGAGTTAAATTGGCCTTTGCAGGAACTATAGATACTGGCATACTGCAACCCTGCTTTCATAGTGTTATTGGTCTTGTAGCTCCATTCCCATGAAACCCTTGAATTGTAATTTTGTGATAATATGGGACATTGTAGTACAACTTTGTTAATGGCTACATATTGTGATATTGGGAGATAAGGAAGAGAGAGTAATAAAAGATCTAATAATGAAAAAGGTTTAATGCATGGATGGGGAAGTTAAGTAGTTAATTAACAATTAAGGGTCCGTTTGGTTTATACTTTAAATGGGAAACAGAGCGGAATTGAAATTCTTTTTTTTTTGGTAAACTCCCCTTGACTCCTTTTTCCCCAAAGTGCTGGTTGTAGGATTTGATTATGTGTCAATACTGGAATAAACCAGCTAATACACTAACAAGCCAGCCCTTAATTGGTTCTGGAATTGGAATTGGAATCGCCTATTTTGCCCACCCGTTTGGTTCATATGGGATTAGATACATGGTTCTTATTGTTGTTGTTGTTGAAATAGATACATAGTTTGTACATAATTTCACATGCAATTCACATAAAAAATCAATAAAACAAGAAAAAAAAAAAGGAAAAAGAGGCATATAATAAGATAAATGACATAAAATCCATTTATACTACCATTGGTGATTCACGGTGACCATGGTTTTTGAACTACTGTTGACCCAGACGATTAGATTGTTCAGCTCGGGGACTCATGACTGGTCAGGGTTGCAATTCTGTTTTGACTCCACACTGCTATTTTCCCCAAAATCGTTGAATCGATCACTGATCCTTGACTTGGGCGATCAGACCATTGACTTGTACGATGCCAAACAGACACAAGGTGTATCACCATTTTCTTGAGCAACAGCATCGATGCCAAACAGACACAAGGTGTATTTACCATCAGGACTTCAACAAATGTTAAAAGATTGATGTCAACTATGACATGCCACCTTCTCACTGATTCAGTTCCTGCTTTTTCATCTTAACGACCATTACCAATAGAATAAGAGTCCAAATCTGCTCCTCACATAGCGCTCCATTTTTCATATTCTTATATTATTATTCATAGGAAATGTTCCCAATACACGGTAGGATGTGTATATGAGATCAGTGTGAGGTGCGCTTTGTGAAAGGCAACAGAGCATATCCCATTTCATATAATATACTTATCTTACTTTGATCTTGAGATAATTCCAACAGTCAAGTAAGCTTGACCAAATAGCAGTATAGCTGTTAAACTTAACAATTAATCCTCCAAAAAGAAATGTCCGAATGAAGATATTTCACTGATTTAACTCCAGATTCTCACAATACTATAGGCATTGAATTTCTTCCTTAAAGTAGATCCTTCAATTTGATACGTTAAATACCAATGCTTTGTTTTCAGAGCCAAGTTTAAGCAACTTTGTTTTCTTATTTTAATTATAGAGCTAATTCCTCATGTCTTATTCAAAATATTTGGACCAAAACCCTAAAAAATGCATTTAAGAAGGGGTAGTGTTTGCAGAAATCAAAATTAGGCACACTGTTTAATAGTAATCTGGAAGTGTTTTTATCGAAAACTACATACGGTTTTCGGGAAGATGAAATATAAAAAACAGTTCTGACCTCTCTCTCTCGTTAAGGACGTTTTTGCTGGTTTATAAAAAATGTTCTTCCCATATCAGCATTCTTAAATTTGAAAAGATCCAAAACGTTAGATTTTCATTCTATAGTCGTGAAATACATCCCACTTTTTACGACTCTATTTTCCTTAGGAATCCTGAATGAATCAGTAATAGTTAAACTGAAAATGTCACTAAATTAGCTGATATCTACAAAATAGAGATGTTGAAATCAAACTGCCCCACTATAAAGTTTTGAATTTCTTCCTGTCAAAACCTTATATTTTAATACAAAAAAAAAAAGAGGAAGAAAAAACTGATTTCATTATGAGGCCTCATCTTAGGTGGCAACCTTGCAGCAGTATAAAAAATAGGCTGCCTGTCAATTCTGCATTACTTTGGCTTCATGTTTTTTATGCAAAATAATAAATGTGGGTAAAAGCAAAGGTCCCACCGAGATTTGAACTCGGGTTACTGGATTCAGAGTCCAATGTCCTGACCACTAGACCATGGGACCTGTTTGTCCTTTTTTTTCAGATTTAACTCTCTTTTATCTGCGATAAGTAAAAGAGAAAGTAAAATGATGCATGTCTTCAGCTTATATGACAGAGAATGGGGATAGGAGTAAGGGTGTCAATGGACCGGTTTTGGATTGGATGGACCAATAAGATGTATTGGATTGGACTAATCTGGTCCAAATATTTATTAGATTGGATTGGACCTGATCGTAACATATTTATATTGGATTGGGTTGGATTAAGCCAATATCTGAGCCATCGATACAAGATAAAAATATATGTGTAAATGAATCAGATTTGAGTTGAAACCAATCTAAATCAAAATGATTTTGAACAGATTGGACGGTCCAGACATTGAATTGGACCAATCCAAATTGATCCAAAACATTTATTTGATTGGATTGAACTGATCCATTTATAATGGACTCACATTGGCACCCCTAGATAGGAGGAGGATTATTTGTTACAGAATGTGGGGTAACTCACCGGGAATTGATGTACGAGGGAGGTGCAAATTTTTAACCTGTTATTGGAAATCAAAATTTGCATTGCCAATAAATACAAATAAGATAAAAAGTATTATGATTTTTTATTATTTTAAAATACAAATCATAATTACAAACAAACTGATATTTTTTTTGAAAAAACAAACCAACAGATATAAAACTAAAACAAGTGCAAAATTTATATTCAATTCATATTTATTTGCTCTGCATTCAAACAGAGTCTCACTAATTTACTTTGAGTTCTTAAAAATAAGTGCTTATTTTGGGCCTGTACCACACCAATAAACACTTATTTGCGTTTGAGAAATAAACCCGAATTTTAAACTTATTCTTAAGTACTTGTTTTTTTTTTGGTATGTCTTGGCCCACCATATTATTTTTAAAATACTCATATTACCGCTGTTTAAAAATAAATGCTTTTTTACCAAACACTCGTAAGTGTTTATTAAAATAAATAACTTTTTTAAGCATTTATTAAATAATCAATTATTTTTCAAATAAACACTCTCAAAATTAACATAGTTGCTGAAAAAAACAAAACAAATGGAGAATACTTGTGGCCACCCTGTAACGGGGATAAGTCGTTTAACCCTATTCTCCCCTTCATGTGAGAGAGCTCCCTCACTGAATCATTACCCTTTGGCTTTATAGCCAATTAGCCATGGCTTTGAGCTCCATTATTACGAGCTTAGGGCCAATTTGTCTCCAATAATTAAGGCCTTAAGGACCGTTAGTTCTAAAATATGAACAGAAGTTGCAAGCTTACAACGTCGCTGCATGGTTTTTTGGGATTCGTCCATGTATGAGTCCAAGAACCCATCCAGTGCTGTGCTAGCTGTGGACCCAAATCCTGAAGGACTACTACGTACTGCAACGCCAAGAGGATGTAAACACGAGTCAGCTCCCTCCATTAATCCATTAAACAATAGCAATAGAAAACAATTTTTGTATAATAATAATATCAGAAATTTGAGAATCTTGGAACTCTGTTTTCCTTTCTTCTTTTTCTCTGTGTTGGGTCTTTTCTTCTGAGAGAGTTGCTTTTTATTGTTCCTGAGATCTCTCCGTCCCGCAGTGAAGTGTGAAGGGTTTTTATTTTTTCTCCGTCTAGAAAAAGCATTTCAAAAGACCTCAACTTTTACCTCTTGTCTGCCATTATAGAGCCATAAATATAACACTTCCCCCACCCCCCACCCCTTGTTCCTAGCTCACCCACCTCTCTCTGGGTTTTTACTAAGCTAGCCGGAAAGTCAGTCTCCCGGCTGTTTTTCCGGCGCTTGGGTGTCCTTCTTTTATTACTCTTCGTCTTTTTGAGCATTTAAAGCTCATATCTCTGTCTCCCTATTTGAACTCTGAAAAGAATGGGTTGATATGTGATTTTCTTTACTGGTTTCTGGCTTTGAAACTCCTGTTCTCTCTTGGGTTCTCGTAAGATACTGTTTCTTTGCAGCAGTGTCTGAGAAAGCTCGTTATTTGGAACTTAGTTTGTTCTGTTATAGTGTCATTACTTTCTGGCTTTGCTGAAACCATTTACTGGTTCTTTAACTCGATTCCGGTCCTTGTCATAGCAGAGCAGAGATTACAATATTTTCACTCTCTCTCTTTCTCTCTCTAAATTTCCAAGTTTCTATCTGGGTTCTTCGTTTAGCTGATTTTCCCTCTGGATTTTCTTTTTATTGTTTTTTTTCGGTGGAACCCTCTCTCTCTCTCTAAATCCAGTTGATTTACTCCGAAAGAAAAGAAAAAGAAAATGATCACCGGAACCGATCTGTATCACGTTCTCACGGCCGTTGTGCCTCTATATGTTGCTATGATCCTTGCTTACGGTTCAGTGAAATGGTGGAAGATTTTCAGTCCCGATCAATGTTCGGGTATAAATCGCTTTGTTGCTCTATTCGCTGTTCCTCTGCTTTCCTTTCACTTCATCTCAACCAACAACCCGTACACCATGAACCTAAGATTCATTGCTGCTGATACACTTCAGAAGATCATGGCATTAACAGTCCTGGCAATCTGGTCCAGAGTCAGCTCGAGAGGTTCTCTCGAGTGGTCAATAACACTCTTTTCCCTTTCTACTCTGCCCAACACTCTTGTTATGGGTATTCCCCTTCTGAAGGGTATGTATGGAGATTTCTCAGGGAGTTTAATGGTTCAGATCGTTGTTCTCCAATGCATAATATGGTACACTTTGATGCTCTTCTTGTTCGAGTACAGAGGAGCTAGGCTTCTCATTGTAGAACAGTTCCCCGACACGGCTGGTTCGATCATTTCCTTCAGAGTGGACTCCGATATTATTTCCTTAGATGGAAAAGAACCTCTCCAGACCGAAGCCGAGGTCGGTGAGGATGGGAAGCTTCATGTTACAGTGAGGAAATCAACCAGTTCCCGTTCAGAGATTTTCTCTCGACGGTCACATGGGCCTAACTCCGGTGTTTCGTTGACTCCCAGACCGTCGAACTTGACGAATGCAGAGATTTACTCGCTGCAGTCATCCAGAAATCCAACACCGAGGGGCTCGAGCTTCAACCACACTGATTTTTATTCCATGGTGAATGGAAGGAATGCCAACAGCATAAGTCCCAGACAGTCGAATTTCGGGAACCTGGCTTTCGACGAGGAGAACGGGATGGGTGGATTCACGAATCCTCCCAGAGCAAATGGGATCTTTTCACAGGGGAATCCGGTGCAGGGTGCAGGGTATCCTGCCCCGCCAAGTGCGGGAATATTTTCGCCAGCTGCCGGACCTGGGGCGAAGAAGAAGGCAAATGGGACCGATGGGGGGAAAGATCTCCACATGTTTGTTTGGAGCTCCAGTGCTTCCCCCGTCTCTGAAGGGGGAATTCATGTCTTCAGAGGAGGGGATTTTGGGAATGAACATGGTGTAGGTCATCCTGCAGAAAATCATACTAAAGGTTAGAGCATTTCCTCTTTTTTCTGTAGATGGTATGTTTAATAATATCTAAAGTTCTTGGAGTTTTGTGTTGATGATGCCACCTTCTTTGTCTTGTTGGGTCTGTTTCGAGGAAATAGGCTTCCTTTTTTCTTGATTCTTCTCTGTAATTTTTTGTTGGTTTAGTGGGTTTTGGTGGATGCATTCTGTTTCTTTTTGATCATTTAGGGTAACAGATATCGCTGTGATTTTGGTGGGACTTGTTATTGATTGATGACAGTTTTGTTTGTTTATGTCTCTCATCAGATTACGAAGAATTTGGCCGGGATGAGTTCAGCTTCGGGAACAGGCCGGGCTCCCAAGTGGCTGAGCGAGATGGACCGACCTTGTCAAAGCTGGGTTCAAGCTCTACGACCGAGCTCCACCCTAAGGCTGCGATGCAAGGCGACGCCAAGTCCTCATCCATGCCGCCTGCCAGTGTTATGACCCGGCTCATCCTGATCATGGTTTGGCGTAAACTCATTAGGAATCCCAACACTTACTCCAGCCTCATTGGCCTCACCTGGTCCCTGGTTTCTTTTAGGTATTTATCTTTCAGCCTTATTAAATGATCTCAGCTTTGTTGATTCTTTCTACCAGTCGGTCCCTTACAGTAGTCTTACTTCTGTAGGTGGGGGATTGAGATGCCAGCCATTATAGATGGTTCGATTAAAATCCTTTCTAACGCCGGTCTCGGAATGGCCATGTTCAGTCTTGGTATGTTCTGATTTCTGAGGTTGTTTCAGATTTTGTTTCCTTCATTTTCTCTGTTAACCGAGGGATGATCGGTTTTAAAACCAAAACTATGGCAATCCAGGGTTGTTTATGGCATTACAGCCAAGAATCATTGCTTGTGGGAACTCAGTTGCTTCCTTCGCTATGGCTGTCCGGTTCCTCACGGGTCCTGCAGTCATGGCTGCAGCCTCCATTGCCGTTGGTCTGCGAGGAGTTCTCTTACATGTCGCCATCGTACAGGTAAAAGGGGTCAGAGCTCTGAAGATGCTTTCTCAATTGTGTCTGATAGTCTCTCCTTCAACCTGCTTTCCTAGCTTTCATTTTGCTCTCGAGTGTTGGTAGTAAGTAGTAAATGTTCATTTTTCTGTTTGTCTTTGAATTTTCAGGCAGCTCTTCCCCAGGGAATTGTACCCTTTGTGTTTGCCAAGGAATATAATGTGCATCCGGACATACTGAGCACTGGGTTTGTATTCAACAATGTATCTATGCATGCATGCATGAATGCATATATGTATGTTAATGGGTCATCTTCTGGCCTTTCTACTTGTCTCTGTACATGCAATGTTATGTGGGATTGGGAATGCATTCATGCATGCATGCATGACATAGACAATGGCATGTTATATTGTTAATATTTCTCATCTTTTTTGAATTGTGTCATCTTTCAGGGTTATCTTTGGAATGTTGATAGCTCTGCCCATAACCCTAGTCTACTACATCTTACTGGGTCTTTGAGAGGGGGGTATGGGAGAGGGATGCTGTGACCTGTGACTGGGAGGAGTCTCTTCATACTGTAAAGATAACCCTTTGTTGGGTTTTTCGTTTTTTTTGCTTGTCCAAGTGTCTAACAAAACAGCTGAGGAGAGGGAGAGAGAAAAGAGGTGTAACGAAGGACCATTTGACTGAAGAATGAAAAAAAGAAAAAAAAGCTGAGAGGGAGGAACAAGGGCGTGACCGTTGGACTAGATTTTTGAATATTTTCTCTGTTCTTTTCTAATCTTTTTTTCCTTGTTCTTTTGGAATTGGAAAAAGCTAAGCATGTCTGTAGTTGAGATGCCTTCTACTTTAAATGTGAAAATGGTTATCTGGAAGCTGTGACAGAGGCCTTCTTTTGACGATTACTTTAGAGCATCTGTCGCTTGTCATTCACTGCCCAGGTCACAAATATGTGCTTCTTGGGGTTTCCTTTTTACTTTGCTTCCTCCCTGTATTTTAGTATGCAAAAGTTTCAAGCTCAACTGACCTACTCCACTGAATTGTTTCCAGATTTGTAGGCAAAAGCTTATTTTTTTAGTTATTTGAGCCACTTCCGATTCACCGGGTCATGTCATTTTGTGGTGGAATTGGTTCTCTATTTAAAAGCAACAGACAAATTCAGCTTCACACATTTCAACCGGGAAAGCTGAGTTGAACGGTTGAGCCGGTTGCTGGTGTTATGATCCGATCATGAACATCCAAACCCTAGGACCAAGTCGATTGTTCTGGTTCGACCATCCGGGTCGACCCACTAAAGATGTGTCTAATTTCAAGGGATGTCAATATGGGACCCAAACAAACATTATTCGTTTGGGACTTTGTTGGACACGACGTTTCCATAGAAATAACGAATCGGAAGTGCACTGAAACGGTCCTCTGTATCTCGAAGCACTTTTGTCTCCCATGGCTTGAGGCTCAGAGCAGAACCAATCCTGTCACCTGGAGATGTTGGCCCAGAGAGGGGACCGAGTGTGGGGACCAAATCAAAGATTGACAGGCCCATTGGTAGTGGGGTCTGACAAATTATGCGGCTTACTTTCAGGCCTAGATTGGAGCCCAACGCAGGTTGAAAATCCATGTGAAAAGATTGCATTGTTGGGAGCATTAACTTGGAAGAAATTTGAGTTCCTACGTGGAACCCACGAACCCATGGTTCCTATTTTCTTAAATATTCTCAAGTCATATGTAGGCATGAGAAGGGACATCCTCTCTCTGGATGTTGGCCCAAGATTGGTTTAGTTTGTACCTTAGTTCTCTCTTAGTTCGATTCTACCCAATCAACCGGACCGACTGAAGAATTGATTAACTTGGGTCTGGTTCGATGGTTTGTCCTGTTTAATAATTGGGTTGGGACTGTTTGAGAAGAGTATAAATGCAAATATGTATTTGTACTCTTCTCAAACTGAGCCCAACTGATTATATAGTTCTGATGTACAGAGGTCCCTGTTTTTTTGGTAACCTTTTGTCATATTTTGTCTAACCGGGTAAATTTCATAACAGTAGATGAGATAATTTTGGTTGGAAAGACTTGTATTAAAAACATAAAACATTTTACTATTTACTGTCATTTTTATTAAGACTATATTATCAAAAATAAAATTTCAAAGTTGTTAATTGTTATAATTATAGATGTCAAGTATAATTAGGTCTAATCAAGTCAGACTCATTTATACTTGTTAACATTTTTTGATAATTTTTACTATATTTTATGTTTAGAAGGGTAAAATTAAGAATTATAATGACAGCTCAACTCATTGCCACCCCTATAATGACAGCTCTATCCTCTCCACTATTCCATGTACGATTTACTATGTACCGAAGTTAAGAATGCCAAAGTAAAAATTACAAGGCAAGTTCCTATTGCAAAGTTGATTATATCCCCTTGAATGTAAGATTTTCAATTCCAAATGGGTTTTCATTCAGTTCCCTTTGAAGTCATTGGATCCTTTACCGATTTGGAGTTATCCCCTTCTAACAATTCCAATAATGACCAATCTAATAATATATAGTTTTTCTAACAAGGAATGAATGCCAAACTAGCATTATTAGTTCTTTTATCTTTTTCGAGGTAAAGACTACTGAAACGTTTTATCACTTTAGTATTTCAATGTTGGTAAGTCTTGAATGTCATCATTTTTATCCTTTGAACCAGTAAAATCTTGGCATTTTACCTTCAAAGCATTCATGAAAAGTAGTTGTACATGAAAAACTGAAAAATCTAGTTAACCGATTGTTTTAGTTTGATTTTTGGTTTAATTTTTTTTAAACCCATTGGTTTGATTTCAAAAATGTGCTCATAGCTAGGTCACCTTTTTTTTCTTTTCTTTTATATATATATATATATATATATATATTTTTTTTTTTTTTAATTTTAAGTTTTGAAGGCTCTAGGCCAGGAACCCTGAGCACTCCTATTGAAAAGACAATCTCATGGTGTAAATGACATGACTATGCAGATGGTTGAGATGATGAAACAATCCTTTGAACCGAAAACAGTTGTTTAAAGTCATGAATGTGTAAATGAAATAGTCACTAAGTGACAATGAATGCATATCAAGTGTTTTTGGGTGTTTAATCAGCTTCAACTGGTTCTACCTCTATGTTTTGCGTCTTTGAAAGCTCATTATTATAGTACATATATGAACTAGAAAAATGAATGAGTGAGCTTCCACTCATCCTAGTGACTGAAATGATGAAACACTTCTTTTCTATCATCATTCTTTGTGTGCATTCCATGTGCCAGTCTTGCTTTTGATTTCCCAAAGTTCTTTTCTTTAAACAAAGCAAGAATATTTAGGTTGTTATCCATGCTTCAAACTTATTCCCCTTTTTGTTTTATATTCTTTGTTAATGGTTGGAAAGTCTCAAATGAAGGGTAGTTTGTCCTCCATATGCAGTGTTTTGTTAGGAGCTAGACATAACATTAGTCAATAGACAACATTACAGCTAAGACTTCTTTATGTAAGTCAGGGCAACCCTAGAAAGTGTGTTGAAAAAACAATTATTAAATAACCCAAAAGTAAGGGTGTCAATGGACCGGTTTTGGATCGGACCCTGTTCAGTCCAAAATCAATTTGAACGGATTGGAGGGACCCACAAGATATATTGGATTGGATCAATCCGGTACAAAATATTTATTAGATTGGATTGGATCTGATCCATCCATAATAAATTGGATTGGGTTGGATTGAGCTAATATCTATTCCATTGATATAAGATAAGAATATAGGTGTCAATGGACAAGGTTTGGGGTTGAAACCAATCTAAATCAAAACGAAATTGAACAGATTGGACAGTTCAGACATTGAATTGGACCGGTCCAAAATAATCCTTAATATTCTTTGGATTGAATTGGACCTGGTCCATTTATAAAGGACTCACACTGGACTGGATTGGATTGGACAAAATACAGTCCAATTGACACCCCTACCCAAAAGTAGAAAAACCCCTTAAAATCCAGAATTGATTTACTTACAAAAATTGTTTGTTCACAGTGACTAGATGACTAACTTATTTGAGGAAAACCTTTTTCTGGCTCAAATCTAAACACACTAAATCTTTCTCTCACACACACAAACACACGTACACCCACCTCACAAAATTAGTCTAGAGTTGCTTCTATGGAAAGTCATTTGCAATCTCATGGTATCAAACAAGTGATGTTATTTAACTCTTAGCATGGAAGAAAATTACCATCATCTGATAATATCACTGATGGTGCATGCTTTTATCTTGGTTTAATAGAGGAATTAGTACCACTTTCAAAGGCATCAGAACTTTGTACTCAAATTTCACCAACTATAACAAACTTTAACTGCTTTATTCTTTTTCTCAATTGTTCAGTTTTTTAGTCTTTCCAGGTAAAATGTATTGTTACTTAAATATACCTAAATACTTGCTTTGTGAAACATAACTCATGCAGAGAAAGCTTTTTTCCATATGGTTGCATTTATTTATTTGAAAAATGGGTCGAAGATTTTCTAGACAAAATTATTTTAACTACTATTTCTGACAGAGTCTATTTTATGTTGAAATAAAGTGAATCTATATGCAAATTATGAGTATTCTCACTTTTCAGTTTATTATGTTTGCATGGCATGAATAATGCATCTATCAAAAAAAAAAATGCAGAAAAAAAGTTTGGGCTTGGTATTCTGGATGGAGTCTGGATTTCCTGCCCACAAGAATTCTGCTCACGTCTACCCACATAACATCGCAGCTACACATGAAGAATATATCACCCCCTACATAGTATTATGCTTGGAGAGATGTTCCCAGTGCCCGGGGATAGTGTGTTGTGGGTAGACGTGGGCAGAGTTCTTGTGGGCAGGAGATCCAGAGTCTCCTGGATGGACCACATATGGGCCTAAAGAATTTATAATTCCTAAAAGTCCCAAACATGAAGATGGGATTTTGATGGTTGGATTGAATTTGTTGAAAAACAAGAAGGGATATATTTTGAGTAAGTCCCAACTTGATGAAATATAAGTGCCTCCTCCTTATAAAGGTTCTCTCATTGATTCAATCAAAGTCCATTATTTTCCTAGAGGAGGATTAGAATTTTCCAGTACCCTTGGTTTGATTTATATTTTAAGGCAAGACACTGTGTATCTGTACTAGCAATGCATGTGAATTGTGGCATGCATGGGTATATGTATATATTGCCTGAGTCACTGAGACACCTAATTTATGCTTTTCATGTTGATGTGGTCTTCCTTCATGTTTTGTCAATTGTTCTTTAGTTTCCATCTTTCAATGTCTGTTTGCTGTGTTATCTTTGGAATTTAACAAAAAATGCTGTCAAAAGCTGAGATGTTCTTCAGTGAAGAGAAAGCAAGAAGTAAAAGTTGAGATGGAGAGGGAGAGATGGGGACATAACTGTTGGAGTACAGATTTTGGAACATTTGTCCCCCACTTTTCCCTCCTTTAAGTTGTTTTTGTTGTCTTGGTAAAAGTTAACTTGTTTTTAGTTGAACAGTCGAGATGCTGTTGTAGTGAAGACGTAAATGGATTAACTCAAAGCTAATAGTGACCCTTCTTCATTTAATTGTTACTGTTGAGCATCTGTGATTTATACTACACGTCTACACCAAGCTGAGGAGATTTTTGATTTTTGATTTTTTTTGTTACTAAGGCTCAGTTTGGAAGGAGTACAAATATAAATTTGTAGAGTACAAAACCTTGTATTTTGTATTATTTTATATGTATTTATACTCTTCCCAAACTGAACCTAAGTGCTCCAATAAACTGATTTGGTTCACTGGATCCCCCACTTAAACTGAATCAAACTTCTTGTTAATGCGAGCTGTGAATGATTAATTAAGGTGGAGCTTGCCTATGTTGGGTGGAATTGCTAAGAGGTGATAAGGGGAAAAACTTAGGGTCCATTTGCTTTGCGCTCAGAATTGGAATCCAAAATGATCTATTCCTTTTGCTTATTTGGTTTATATGGGAATTGGAATTGGATTTCATAAGATTTGCACAGTTCCAGGGAGGGTTGGCATTGGGC